TGAATCCTCAGAATCCGAAAAACAGACTAATGATGGGTTGGGCTCATTTTAAGACCATGTCCACAGTCTTAGACTGTGTTGTCGTTTCCTGAACACCAACGTCCGAAAGCATCTTTTTATCTATCCCTTCAGTTTTGACTTCTGAACGGATTCATTCACTTATACTATCTAACTTTTCTTGAGTGAAAGTTATACATTATGTACATCAAAACGTTACATTTGCCTCAACACTTCTTGTGGATGGTGGCTTGCTTGTCTTGACAATGAAGAACTTATTACGACTTCGTGCAAAAATGGTCAGAATCAGGATTGTCTCCTCTTCCAATGTGTCGACAATGGAAGTCTCAGCCTTTCCATCTGGCGTAAGAGCTAAGCTAAAGGCAATTTGCTGTGTTTATCCTCCTTTGATGTCAGATATTTTGTGTGGGCAACTTCCTTTGGGAGCATCTACATTATAGTGGTTAACTAATGTACTGTCTATAAATTGGGGAAATTTAGAAGTGCCGTCATCAAAAACAACAACTGATTTCAAAACATTAGAAACCACAATCATACTAGCATAATTCCAGAACACTAGAGACCCCATCAGATATGACCTACAAAGCTCCTCGTCTCTTTAGGACCTAATCTTCCCACACGGTGATGTCAGTCAAGCAACTTTCCTCCCACCTTTAAGGAAAACTGACGATGCGGCCATCTTACTCAAGTCATTGCTAAGATGGCCTATCAACCAGTTGTGCCTGCCCGTCCTAACATATGAAAGGCAAACATGAAGGCGATCAATTCTACGGAATCGGATGTGAACTGAACTAGGGGCACGGGGGCATCCGTAGAACATGTACGGACTCATTTCAGGCATTTATACAATCAAGGTACTCAAACATTTATATTCTGAACACTCACAAAGGAGATTAAGCACGGTCATCCCTGAATATACCGGGATATTATAAGCGTACTAAGACGAAAGAAGAAATGTTGGAATATTGACATCATCATTAGCACATCAAGTATGATGGAACGCTACAAGTCTACTGTGAATCACGAGGTGGCTACTCTGAATTCTACCGACTGACCAGCTTCAGATATCCAAATACGACCCCAATACTGTTACCCAATCTCCAATATATCAGAACACGAGCCGTAGATGAAAAATTGTTTATGGGGTCAGAAGCAGAATAATGATTTACAAACAAATGCATATTTATACAGTTAGTATTACTATAAATATTGACTAACAGAAAAATGACACGTGAATAAATATTGACCAATAGGAAAATGACACGCGAAATAAATACTGATCATTAGGGAAACGACCAATAAGAAAATGACACCATTTAACGTTCAAGGGTAGCATAAGACTTAACTGGATAATTGTTTTTGGGATATTTTTCTGAATATCACAACAAAGTCAGAACAAAATTGGTTTATAATTGCACTCTGGGAAACTCAGCGAAATTATGATGAACTGTTAGCTCAATCTGTAATCATGCAGTTCAGGAGAAGTTTCTCGTACATAAGTCGCATCTTGGATCCTCAAACTAATTACGGAAGCGAGTGGATCCTCAATGATAGAAAATGATCAGGACAAAGCAGAGACTATGGCAAAGCATTTTGGGATGGTTTTTACTCAGGATCCTCTTCTAGACGAAGAACTAGACCCAAATATATGGCCGAAAGATCGTCCGATCGTTATGGACTTCAGTCGAGGTCGTGTATTCAGGACCCTTAGCACTGTGGATACGGAGAAGTCAACAGGAGTGGGTGAGCCTCTTGTTTAAATCTTGGGGCAAATTACACAATATATTGCCGCCACATTGACTACAACATTCGATATGTTACTTATCCAAGGTGAAATACCTAAGGAATTGAAGGACGCAATCGTCACTCCAACACATAAAATAGGATCGGGACAACTCTCATCAAATGACAGACCTGTTGGTCTCACCAGTGTCGTAGTTAAAATACTGGGAAGAATAAAAAAACCACAATGACATTCGTGAAGACGAACAACTTGTTAAACAGCGAACATGGTCTCAGAAAAGGTTCATCTTGCACAACAAATCTCTTTATAGCTAGTAAACAATGGATGGAGACCCTAGACAATGGAAAGTTATTGGATAATATCTAAATAGACTTCAGTAAAGCATTTGATGCGGCACCAAAAATATACTACTCATGAAACTAGGAAATCTAGTCATTTTCGGAACTCTCCTAAAATGACTCAGGGATTTCATGGTATGTCATAGACAGAAAATAAGGATAAAATTCAAATGCCAGTCTAAAAATTAGCTGGTGGCTATCATTGCGGCAAAGTGGTCTACTTTCACTTTGGGATTTCAGCGGTAAATAGGTGCCACATAGAGGAAGTTTTTGTACCCGTCGTCCGCCGTCACAAGGATCTTGGGGTGACAGTGAACCATAACTTTAGGACCACGGCACATTGCTAAGAAGTTGCAGTCTTCAAGACGAGCATTCATCAAGTTATATACTACTATGTTCACTACAGTATAGACAACCTTAGTAGGAATCAAATTCGTGAACTTTGTTCAGCTGTAAGGCCCTGTTTAAAAGGTGACTCGGACATCCTAGAAGAAGTATAATAGGTAGCCGATCGTGCAATCCCAGAACTCTGGGCTAGCCGCTACAAAGAGTGGCTTGTAAAGCTTGTAGTTTTGGTTACTATGTTAAGGAAAATTCTCTAATAAAGCATGGAATATATCGTCACGCAAATGAAATACACCCAAGAATCGGTATGCGTTTATTTGAGCTTATTCTAGCTTCCGGACAGGCCAATCAATTCATTCTTCATAAGTCACGCTTTGACTTAGTTAATTATTCACTCATTAACCCTTACTGTTTTTGTATGAACGTATGTGTGTGTACATAATTTTCTACTCATCACATGTCTGTAAGTTATTTTTGTGTGATTAAAAGTACCGATAAACGCTTGGTTAAATCTAGTTAGGCCACTTGCCTTCGCCATTTTGCTTCACCCTTCACTCTTTGTTTCGTCTCCTTGATTGTATTGTAGCGTGGCGTCGAGTCCCAATTGACTATGAACACCACTACAGAGAAACACGTGCCAAAATATCCACAAAATCCCCCGGAAGTGAAATATCAGAAGGCAGTTAATGGACCAAGTCGAGATATATTTGCTGGCGATCTCGTGACATCGAAAGAATATCGAGATCGTGCCAGGATACAATCTTGGTTACAGAGCGTAACCGAATTCGCGCGCAGTCACAATCAAAGTGTGAGAAATAACGGAAGCATAATATATTTGCGATTAGCACAGTTAAACAAAGAGCACGTTAAACAAGCACTGGTACAGTTGGTTATAATAATAATTGTTTTCATTAAACCAATAGTGTTCTCGTGATAAAAGTGAGTCACTACAGTATGTTCAAATCAATAATAAGTGCATGAAATATACATATTCAAATTCCATTCTAGTATTTGGTTTATTCACTAACTCAATTTAAGTCGATGGTTATATACGAGGATTGTCAATATGTATACTTTAATAACACTGATTTGTACAATCAACCTGGAGTCACATCCCGGGTCACAAAATGCTAGATCTCTTTATTCTGTCATACCGCAGATTAAGAGGTGATCTGATTTTGATGTACAGAATACTAAGAGATGATTTTAGACCTAATATATCTTCTCTTTTCCATCCGCTAGATCGAGAAATATCAGAGCACATAGCAAGTGAGTAGAAAAACCAACAATGAACAAAATACCTATGGTATACAGATCTACACACTGAGCAATGGTGTCTGTACCTTCAATTGATTCATTCAAGAGTAGAATAGACTCTCACAGAATTATATCATAAAATGAATAACACAGGCTGTAGGCCTTGTGTCTTTAATACTCAAGTCTGAAGGTTGCATTCCGATTGACTAATCTGAAGGCCACCCGTCGTTTGCCGAAGGTCGTCGATATGTAACAATATTAAAATCCTTTAACGTGACGTGTGTTTTCTTATTACAGGGCAACAAAAAGTAGATGTATTGGAAGGAGCTCTTCGTAAGCTGAACCTACAGAACGGTGGATAGAACTATTTTGTAGTAAAATTTCCCTTTTTGTACCCGAACCGCGTCTTTTAATTTTCAAAATATATCTGTTGTGCTAGTATGTCGCGTTCTTGCTCCAGAAGCAATTACTGGTCCTGATTGTTGTGTTGTTGGTTCAGATCCCTTCCGCTTCCAAGTAAACGCTAATAATACATGCTAGAGGTACAATATGTTTTTGTTGCCGTTTCGGTTCAGTGTTCGTATTTGTTTTGGAATATCGTTCTTTGACGTATCCTCAACACTACAATAATGTATCTACGAGTAAATGATAAGTCTGGTATGGTTTATATATAATCATGTACAACGCCTCAACCAATAAAAAAACGGGAAATAAAGGGAATATTCTGTTAGTAAATAAGGATTAAACAATGGAGCAATGCACTAAGACGTCTCATTTTCATCGTATCGTTAGATTTGTTTTGAAGTTATGGCTTGATGGTGATATTTAGTAAATACCATTTGTTTTAGATTCGTCGTTGGTGACATTGTCGCTAACTCAGCCTTTCCAGTGTCGACTCATCACTTATATCTACAAAATTATCTTGCCTAACTATTTAACTAAAACTTTGTAACCAATTTATGACCTCTACTCCGGCTAATATTTTAAAGCACCTACAAATCTCGATTGGGATATCTAGTGAAAAGCGAATTTCCTATTTTATTCGATTTAACGTGTGATAGTATGATGGTTTGTGATTTCCTGTCGTTGATGTTAACCAGTCAATGTCAGTTGACATGTGTACGTTGTATGTGTAAGGCTACGACAATGTCAGTTAATCATAAGCTTTAGTAAAAGGATATCTTATTTCCTGGTAAATTTGAGATTCATTACACATATACAGTATTGTCATGTTTTAAAAATGAGTTGGTTGTGAAGAATTTCTTCACTGAATCACGTTTTTCTTGTGACCTAATCTGTGTGTTTAAATTAATATTGAGTTTATCGTAAAATGTCACATATCTGCATAAGATCAGTTCCAATTGTCTGCAGTCATTTATCAACGACCGATTATAGTGATGATTTGTAGAATGAGAAGGGATTTTGTCTCGATATTTGATATAGAATGGTAATCACGCCATATGCCTGCATGATAGATGAAATTCTCATGCTATATTTGGTACTCAAATGATAAAGAACATAACAGTTCTCCATGTACATGTGTTCCTCCTTTGAGGAATAATGTAGTGATGAATATTAGAAAGTAATTCACTAAATGAAGATTCACAACACTTATTTCAACCGAATTGTTGGTTAGACCAGTAATTAATATAGTTTAGGTAGTCACCATTCGGTATCTTGTAACAAATCATTAGAAATTTTCCCGAACCTTATCAATCTAACTACAGGAATATACATACCCTAATAGTCTTAATTTCGAACTTTCTTTGTAGAACATGGTTGAGAATACTGAGGATTTGAAGAGATCACTAACGGATTCGGTTAATGATTTAGGGTACATTTTGTCTGATCGTTTACGACATGTAGATGGCGATTTCGATTTTGATATGTCTGTTACTGCAACATATGACCTCGACACTCGACTCATGCTGATGCTTGACAAGAGTATGATGCCTGAGTCTAATCTAGAAGATTCCATACCTGTTAAGAATGCCTGGGTGAAGTTTGCCGCAACGGCCTCCGCATACGTCTACAAAAATGTTGGTGAATCGGTTTCCAAACCTCTTCGAAAATGGCTGGCGAATGCTGCCAGTGCTGCGATTCTCGCTGGACTACTTGCAGAAGTGCCTGAGTCATGCGATTCAGATGAACGAACTACTTCTGATGGAGAGACATCTGTCGAAAATATCTTCACACCTGACAGAGTAGTGGAGAATCGTCAAGACGGTGCCTGGTACTATGGCCGTTGGACCGTTGACAATTTGCCAACAGTTATGAAATGATGGATGTGATCGATGCTGAAATGACAGATGCATGTATTCGAGTGATGATTGCTGCTGTTGTTAATTATTTCCAGGAGAACAGATTTGCTCCGTGTGGTTTGTTGAGAGACAGTTATGCAAGTGCGATACTGAGAAGTGATCTAATGGATAGGTATGGGTTGACAGACGAACGTGACAAAATTGAAGCGATGCGTATTACTGGTTATTGGGTCTCGAAACTGTATGTGTTCCACATGGCGACGAAGCATCGTGATTTAGAGCACCCAATCAGACCTATAAATAATGTTGGTTTGGTACGTCCTCTGAAACTAGGTATCAAACAGTGTTTCGAGGACTTGACAGCTAGATTTATCCGTACACGAATCGCACATCAGATTGCCAGTCGAATGGTGCGATCTGTGTGTATAGTGTTTTTTGAAGATTTGAATGAATTGATTGAGTTGCGGAAGCTGTACCGTCGAATATCCAGTGATCCATTTCATTACCACACTGACTGTGAATATTTGACGAATTCATCTCGACCGTCATTCAGTGACAAGATGAGTAGTATATTTGGTCGATTGGTCACCTATTTGAGTGTTTTTGAGCCGAATAGTGAACTGTTTGATTATCCGCAGTTGAAGATGAATGGTAGAACTCGAGAACAACACTATGTTGATTACAGTAAGAATTGGAAGAAGATACTGGAGACGATTTATACAGAGTTGTATATGCCCAGTGGAAGTCCTTTATTGGATGTACTTAGAAGTAGATGCAAAATCTCAGCAAAGATTCCACAAAATGAAAAACTTTTGAGAGAATGTTGGAATGAATATGGTGTCGATTCGAATATTTTGAAATATATTTTCCGATACTCACTTAATCGTTAGATATTATGTTCACTCATTGACATATCGAGAGTAAAACTTTGTTAATAATCGATTTCAATATTATTTTTTCATCAGTGATGTTGCTTTATGTTTTCACTGTGGATTTGTTAACATATAGGTAATTGCTGGAAGCACTTTCAATATAAGTGGACTAAGTTTCAAATAATTTTTCTAAAAATTATCGATCAGAGCTTCTGAAAACCTAATTATTGGTAAACTTATCGTTACTTTACATCTATCGTTACCTTTTATTGTTCGCGTCGGTTTATCCATACTGTTATTTAAGTGTAATTGTGCACAAAGTAAATATTCAATTGTTTTGCATGTATCAGTATTTCGTAAGACTCTCATAAATATTACACCACATTCAAGTTGCCTAAATCAACTGACTGAGTTACTGGGACAGTGTATGGCATAACAAACCAAATCAATCATGAGGTTTAAACAAATAGGTAATCACTAATGTGAAGTGGTTGGTGGAATGATAAAAACAAGGCTAATCTAAGTTTAGTAGGGTGTATATTTTCAGTATCTTTTTTTATTAATTTGATTCTTTCCGAAGCTGATGTGTAAATCTAACTAACTTGATAAGCTTACAACCTCTTACTCAGTAATAGGTGTATTTGCCCGAATGCGTAACCATCTTAGCTGCCATTTGCATATACTGGTATAACCGGAGAGAGGGAGAGAGTTAAGCATATTTCTCACAATGACAAGCTTATTTTCAGTAATAAATTCCAAAATGGACCTATTGAAATTGTAAATAGAAAGGTATGAAGTAGTTTTATAAATCATAAATACTCAGGTATCTCCAGCTCGATGCTGCCGATCGTCGGTTTATCGTTGAAAGTCATCGTCAGATAGTTTCTCGATAATAATAATCTACTGCGTGAATTCACGAAGTTTATTATTTGATAACTAACTACCGTTGCCTCTCGTGGAGCTTAGACCGAAGACCAGGATTCTCCAACCGACTCATCTAGGCACTATTTTCCAGTTGTTTTGAAATGCTGTTCATCTTTTTGATGACTGCCCCCAATTCCCTGTGTCATGTGATCTTTAGTCTCTCTTTTTCGTGCTCTTTGGGGACTTCCAGTTAAAACTTGTCTTGGGACTCAATCTCATCATTTCTGCGGTATGTATCCTATGCATCTCGTGTTATTTCCTAGTTCCCTTTCTATTTGAAAGTTGGCTTGTTCTCTGCCAGACTAGATTATTGCTGATGATGTCTGGTCGACAGAGGCGTAATAACTTGAGGAGACATAAATGTTTAGCTCATTGTATTCAGTATTGACGAGTAATATAAAGTGGTGATTCAACACAGCTGAATGTTTTCTCAAAAGTCTCGGGACCTTTAGATGATCCAAAGATATTGGGTTGGTCTATTTCATCTATCGAATCTCAGAGTGATGATAAATTTTCAGATTACTAAAGGATTTCTAACTTGATTCATTTTTTACTGAGTATGTTTCAAAATTACGTACACCTGATGACTGGAAATTGTTTCACACAATTAATTCCTATCAATGTTTGTAGAATAACAACAACGAATATCGTGAGATGAAGTGAAGAATAGAGTTCGATATATAGATAATTCCCGTTGATAATGAAATTATTTACATTCCTAGTGATGCATAAATGGATCTGAAACTTATCTTCTTGGAACAGTATAGCACTAGCAAACACAAGTACATTATAGTCGCTTTTAAGTCTGAAACATTATCTAGTGCACTGTGTCAATGACACCATTGTTTTTTCATAATTTCCTCTTCAAATGGAAATCGAGTTTGTTCGCTCCCACAATAGGCTATTGCTGATGGTATCCGGTGAACGGATCAGGAATATGTTGTGTAGACAGATGTCTATAAATACCCGTATCTTTCTGATGATGGATGTGGTAGTTGTGTGATTTCAGCTCCATACAATACTTGATTATTGGCTGAAAGTTATTTTGATTTGTAAGTGTTGTTCACTTGTAGGAATGCTGTGTTTGCTGTTCAGATCCATGCATTCACGTCTGCATCAGATCCCTCTTGTTCATCGTTGATGCTGTCCAGGTACGTGAAAGTTACATCTGTTGCAGAGCAGCTCCATTGCGTGTGATTGGGTTGATGCTTACTGTATCATATTTGAGGATACTGCTTTTTCGCTTGTGTATATTAGGGTCTACTGATGTAGAAACTACTACTACACTGTCTATCTGCAACTGCACTTGTTACTGTGTACGCATCATCTAACTACGTCTAAGCTTTCTATTGTATTCCATTCTTTCTTCGAGATATGTGGGTCTTCCAACCACCAGAAGAGAGATATTAATCAGGCTTGTCTGACACCATTCTTTACTTTATGCATGACGTCGCAGTGTAGTCTGTGGTAAGAATCATGTACGATTATGTCAGACAATGTTCCCCCCTGAATGCCCTGGTACGGCCGAGAGTGGGGAGAGTCCGCTCTCCCTCTCGAAATACTCTCACACGGCCACGCGTATACAGCCTCTGCCAGGGAAGTCCTACTCATTGCCTTCTCGTGGCGGGGGTGTTGTCTACGAAAATGAGAGGACGAAAAGCGAATGTCCGGCGCTTTAACCGGATTCCAAATCAATGGTGCACATGGGCTCCAGTATCCTGCGGGAACGAATGGCGTATGAACCAATCGTTGGTCACCGGCTACCATGGGACTGCATCTCCTTACGATGCTCCACTGCCTTGTGGGTTAGACCTTTAGGTCAAAGGCTCGGGGAGTGGCCCCCTAAGATAACCACCTGCTTCGGTTTGGGCACCCGGGCAGTATCACAGCCCACACACAAATTGATGAACTCTTTATGCCTACGGAAATTACCTTTCTTGCTTTGAAAAACAAACAATTGATTCAGATTATTATCATTACAATTATTGTCATTATTAATACTGTTATTATTATTACTAGTATTATTGTCATTATTGTTATTATTATCATTATTATTATTATTTTCCACATTATTCACCCTCTTTTATACTTATACAGCGGCTCGTCTTTGGCGGAAATCCGACTGTATCTATACGTTCTCGAGTCACTGTCCGGTTGAAAATTGTATGTTACCACCGAATACGAGGACTGAAGCAGATTTTCTGAAACCACGTGCACCATTCAAACTGGCTGCCTTCAACGTTCGCACATTTATGCAGGTCGGACAACAGATAGGGCTGGCTATGTCTTTGGAAAGTCTTAATATCGACGTGTGTTGTCTATCCGAGACCCGTATTCAAGACTCTGGCGAAGTACTACAAATTCGATCTCCATCTGTCGCTTCGAAAAGCTTGTTTTACGTGCGCTTATCCGGGGACCCTGTGGCATCTTCGTCTGGTCTTGCTGGCGTTGGTGTCGCACTAAGCGCTAGAGCTGAGGCAGCACTAGTCGATTGGATCCCCATTAACAGTCGGTTATGTGCTGTTAGATTAGAAAGTTCCATCAAAGTGAGAAGAAATCGGCGTGAGAAACGATGTCTTTTCGTCATCTCCGCCTATGCCCCGACAGATTGCAGCCCGGATGCAATCAAGGATGAGTTTTACCACCAGTTATCAGTTCTTCTCCAGAAAGTGCGTTCGACAGATATTGTAGTACTAGCCGGAGACTTGAATGCTCAGGTCGGGCGTCTAGGCACAGAAGAGAGTCGTTTAGGTGGCCGATGGGGACTCGTTGGTCGCAGGTCAGATAACGGGGACCGTCTACTGCAACTTTGCACAGACCACAACCTGTTTCTGGCTAGCACTAACTTTCGGCACAGTCATCGCCGATGTGCCACCTGGCGTCCTCCCTCTGCATCTCAAGCCTGGACTCAGATTGATCACATCGCGATCAGCTACCGCTGGCGTGGTTGTGTAAAAGACTGCCGCTCCTTTTGGAGTACCTATCTGGACTCTGACCATGCCTTGGTCTGCGCCAATCTTGCCTTACTTTTCAGTGGACAACGAAGTGAACGCCATCAACGGATTGATGTTAGCAAGCTGGTTGCAACTTCTGTTGCAAGTAAGTATCGAACCGAGCTAGCCTCTAGGCTAGCTACCACTCCACCGAAAAGTATAGATGAGCATTGGTTGCAATTGCATGACGCCATGAAAATGGCGGGAACAGTCAGTTGTGGGTTTGCGAAAC